CTCTGTCAGCACTTAGACTTTACTAATACGACTTTCACCCTACGAGCTGACATTCTGGGCTCGTCTCAACGATCTCGTACCTTCCGACTTCCGTGACCCTAATGAACAGAAACCGTAAGCTCCAACGGTCTGCGCACAGCACCTGGAGCATATCGTTGGCTTTCTTTTTCTTTCTCTTCTCACCCATAGAGCCCTTTTTTACACTCTAGCCTGACTTATCTGGTTCTGGCTGTACGGCCTCCTGCCTTCTGACCTCTCTCGAACTCTGAGTTCTAAATGATCTAGTCTCTGCAGGCGCAATGCTCTGTCTCCCCCGCCTCCAGAGCACTGCTGCTCATGATTCATCACTAGTATATCCGCTTTTATCTTTAACACTTCTATCCTGTTGACGCTCTGTTAACTTTCTGACATTTATAATACGGCTTTCTCTCCATGAGCCGATATCCTCATCTCATCTCCATGGTCTCCTGCTTTCCGAATACTGAGCCCATACTTTTGAACCATCGACTGGTCCAAAGGTCTGTTCGCAACACCTCGAGATTTTTGTAGGCTCTTCCACTTCCCCTTAAGTGTCTCCTTCACGATTACATTCTTTCATTTTCGCACTCTGTCTGCCTTCCTTTATCCATTGGACGGATAACACTTCGGGCCTGGCTGCACTCTAGCCTGGTCTGACCAGTCTCCTATTTTCTGACTGTTTCCAGAAATCGGAGACGCACGTGTTCTAGGCTGTGCAGTCACAACACACCCTGTCCCTCAGCCTGAGAGCTTCGTTTGATATGCTAACGGGCTTTTTATATAGCCTCTGTAGTCCCGCAAATTTACTTTCTCGCGACATTCACTACTGTTATCCCCACTTTAATCTGACTGCCTAGCTACATCTTGCTGACTTATCCAGTCTCATCTAAACGCTCTTTTGCTTTCTGACCCCTCCCCAAACACTCCTGCTTCATCTTCAATCTTTCATTCTTTACTGATCCGTGTTCCGCTCGATTCTCTTCGTATTTCGCCACTTATGATATACGTGTATATGCGATATTTAAATAACAATTACATGCATAGTGGTACAATAGTTCAGGCATCGCCGCAATTGATTGACTGCATTCCAGATGCATTCCTTTCTTCTGTCTGTGTGGCTGTCTCTGTTCGTTTCCTTTTTCTCCCGAGTCTGTCACAGGTACAGCGACACGCACCCAAGGAATTGTCCTCCGTTTCGACAACAATACAAGGCACACAGTTCCTCTACCTGGACATGAGCGGAAAATTATCAACTTTTTTACAACTTACTAACCGGACAAATCATTCAATATCTTGCACTGATACAATTCTTCCGCGGCATGAACCACTGAGTCCAATTTACCTAACAATACCTCTTCCACATATCTCTTGACTGGAGGACTTTCGACTACGGAAGGCACATTCTTCTGCCAAAACAAAGCTTGAACAATCGGTCATTCTAAGCTCTTCAATCCGCTTTGACCGCTCAAATGGCCGTGGTTTCCCCTATCTCTAATCAATTTCACTACATACCCCGGGGGATCTGCGATTCTTTCTTCGGAACCTATCCTGTCCTCCAAGACTTCAACATATTTCAACGTATATTCTTCGAGGCTTCACGTGGTTCTGCAGATGATCAACACATCATATCCAGAAAGCATGCTTAGTTCCTGACCTACCGATCTGGAACAGGAGAGGACCCAGGCACGCAATGGCCACTCGCATAGCGCATCAGTCAGCAGAAAAATGGGACGCAACTTGACTGCGAATAACGGAGCAAAAGAACGTTCAACAAGAAACATAGCCAGTTACAACTTGCCATTCAATGGATTGGCGGCAGTGTTTCAGGACGTGGTGGGTTTTCGCCTGGCAAGCGTTCTCCCTATAAAAAGCCACAAATGTCCGGTTAACAACACTGCAACGTGGCGAATGTGACTCGCCACCGAATAAAGTCACAGCCCATAACTTCACACTGGCAGCTCAATTAGAATCATCATACTGGATAGCTTGCTCTTCAATTATCTTCCAATGGATCACTCAGGATTCTTTATCTATTATTACTCGAGGTATGACTGCGATATATGGCAGAGCG